GTCCAGTTATGAAAGTGAGATTGTATATGCTGTTTGATAAGTTTAGGGTCTGTAATAAGTTGGTCAGGGAGTTTGATATTGGAAAAGTGTATGGGGGCTTTGTATCGATTAAGAATACTGTTGATGGCTTGTTTAGGATGTGTAGAAAGTGTTTCGCATCTTTTTTCAGTTGCTTGTTGAATTTGTTGACGAAGTAATAATGAGTTTTCTGTATGACGAGCATGATAAAGTTGTTTCCAGATATCTTGTGCATGTTGGATCCATGCATGAATTTGAGAATTATCATCTGGGTCTAGAGTTTGAAGATCACAGTAGGAGGTTACAAATTATATGTATGTTTGAGTTTTTATTCTTTGTATGTAATTTAAAAACAAGCATTCCTTTGTAAAAATTTAAATTTTAATAAAATTAAAAACATAACTTTACTTTTAATATTTTTTTTAAAAAAAAAATAACTACAAAGAAATCTAATTACTTTTACAAATATTTTGCAAAATCAAATCCAAATTTGAATTTGAATCATATTGTTAAAATTTTAATCAACTATTTGATTTAAATTCAAATTTTGATTTTATTTTACAAGTACTAGTTGGTCATACTAAGGAGATATATATTATATTTTAAAACATATAAAAAGAGAAATAATTTAACTGAATACGAATTATAATCTTATTTGTAAGCATCTTTTGTTAAATTAACTTTAGTTGCATGCCTCTTCAGGACATTATTTCTCGCAAACGTTAGGGATGATTAAGTCCTTAAGTCAAGAACACTAAGACCTTGTCTCAAGATCTAAACTATAATCTCCATCAAAATTCTCCCCACGTGACTAGCACCAAAATTCTTTAAGTTAGATTAGGGTTTGGGTGAGTGCCTAGACTAGAATTTGGGTTTCGCAAAATCGCTCAAGAAAATCTTTTGTTAGTATACAAAAGGCAGTTTCTTATGCAAACCTTTGAGAAATAAGCAATTTTTGACTAAAAGAGACGTATTACGTTACACCAAGTTGTGATCTTTAAAAGTTTCGTGGCTCTGATTGGCTGGAAAATACAACCATCATCTCAAAGCAATATAGTTTCTTAAATATAGGGTATAGTCGACTAAAAATGTTATATAATAAACTATGTTTAGTCGACTAAACCGATTCTAATCCCTACTTAAACATCATTAGATTTTGACTTGTTAAGACTAAGTTCAGGAAGTAGGTCTTAGAGCAAATCTAGGTCCCAAGACTTTTAATTGGACCTATAGTATTCTTATAAAGTTTCAATTCGAATGTCGCAATAAGAATCTTGTAAGTTTTATTATGAAATGCATATAAAAAGTAAGAAATTAAAGTTCGAACCAATACATATAAATATGGCATATATAAAATACAAATTGATATATAATGTACGATAGATATATAATTATTATATAAAAAGCAATTTATTTCAAAAGTGCTTTTACAAAACACCGAACCCAATTATGAAACCCAAATATACAAAATCTACATAATATATTATCCAGACAGAATCTGTTAAAATAGATATTAACATAGATTAGTTCCATTAGAACGAAATTTGATTATTAGAAACAATTAAGAAACTTAGTATTAATAATGCAGAAATATTACCATATTTCTCAATAAAGCGTCATTATCTAGCTCAGCATACATAATACGGTTATATTCCTTGCATTGACCGTTTACATTTTTCCAAGTCTTTAAAAGACCATATGCAATCATCTTAATGTTTCGAAGTGCTTCTTGATTATTCAAAGGTTCAAGTTTTTCAATAATAGAGTTAATTGCATCAATTTGTTCTTCCCAAAAAGTTATAAATTTACGACAAGTTTTAATGATCAATATCAGGTCATTATTCAAAATCTCTATGCAATTGGTTAATTGATCTCGTTCCGAAAGTAATTTCTTATTTAAAGATTCTATGGTAGCGCTCTCATGGTGGGCCAAAAGTTTTGTCCCTCCTGCAATGGCTATATTTTTAATTAGATGAAGAACTAGTGTAATATCTAAATTATTATAAATTAAACCATCGTTATTAAAAAACCTACCTGTACCAGCTGTAGCTGTGAATATTCCAGCATCGACTACTGAAGTACAAACTGCTGCCAGAGCAGTTGTACCTCCAGTAAATGGTGATGCAGCTAAAGCTGTCAAGACGCCAATAATGGCTATAGCGAAATTTGCCTTTGATGAAGAATTATACTTTTCCTGAATCGCTTCTTTCTCTGATAGCTCCTTCCCTATATCAGAACCAATATTTCGATGACACTGTTTGATATCCGCAGCATATTGTACTAACTTATCAGTGACATCTGTCAAATCATCTCTAATATGTCTAATTTTTAACTGTAAAATTTCAGAATCTTCTTTATTTTTTCTAGCATCAGATAGACGTAATCTCAATAATCCTAAAAGATCATCCTTAGAAAATCCAACGTCATTACAACATTCAGCAAATATTACAACTTCTTCGGCAAACCTTGCCAATTTGCTGGATTGCTTCACTGAATCGCTAGCGAAATCACGAAAGCTAAGACGCTGTTTATTAATTTCTTCAAGCACTTTCGATATTTCGTTATTTTTAATTGGAAGTTTTCTACAGTTAGAAAATCGTTTGATTATGGAGGTCATCGCTTCTCCAAAAGCTACTATGTCTAGAATTGTAGAATTTGCACTGTCCTCTGGATGAATAAAAGTCATCTTTTGATATAATTGTACGAGGACTGAATTTATAAAATTCACGAAGGAATGGAATGATGAAATGAAATAAGGTAATATATCAAAAAAAATTTTAGTGTTAGACTCTTGGAGTTTCAGTACAATTATATATATGGTTACAATGTCATGTGAGTATGCGTAGTTGTACAAAAGTTAACGATTTATTTTTCTTTTTTCTAATTACTTTTTTTCCGTCATGGTCAATGTGCAATTATGGCAAAATCCTGGCTTCCCAGATGTTTCAATTCTTCAAGATATAACTACCGAGATTTTAATTAATTTTCGAAAATGTAAAGAATTGAGAGCCAGACTTCAAATGCCAAATAACGATATTAATGAATTAAGTCGTATGTTCAACGATTTAACTGAGCAAAGGGCCGTAAAATCATTGAGAATGTCAAGATATGCAGGCGATATAGTTGAATATATACATATGCTTACAGAGGAAAATGTGAGCGTTAGTGCAATTATTCAGACTCTGAATCTGTTATTGAATACGGCTAAATCTCAGAAAGATGACTGTGAAAAATTGAAGAGAGATTACAATTCCTTTTACAACATTTTGAAAAATCTTAGAATTGATGACTATGAAAATAACGAAATGGAAGATAAAGATGTTAATATTAAGTTATTGATTATAGAATCGATTGCTAAACCAGCATTATTTTTTTTTATTGTATGGCTTTTGACATGCTATAGTAGAGACTATGTCTACGATTTTAGTAAATTCATAATTGATACCATTTATCAACGTACGTCCGATGATTCACAAAAATTATTAGAAAAAAATGAGGGTGAGATGGTTTCCAAATTCTCGAATTATTTTAAATTTTTGGGAATTCAGTAGATTCATTTAAATTCCCCACAGATCCCATGGGCTCGGGTTATTCAAACTTGAATGATGTTTTCCCGCAATATGGTGAAATGAATGTAGAATCTCTTACTGCATCCCAAAAAATTTTTAATTCTAGAGATAACACGCACGCAACTTCTGTCAACTTTAACGATATACAACCTGTTTTTTTGTCATCGCCAATGATTGCAGGCTATGCTTTAACCTTATATGTTTGTAAAAAGAGAAAACCGTTTTTTAGACGGTGGAGAATATTATTGAATCGTTTTGGTACGAATATTTACAGATGTTTTACCCGAAATGGATATGAGCAGATCCCTACAGAAAATGAAAGAGCTAGTCTTGTGCAATATATTGAAAGGATTAGAGATCGATTTCCAGTAATCATAGACAACATTGATTTATTATGCCAATTTTGGGATGCACAGATCGTTACTATCAACGATAATATTTCATTTTTAAAGTCAGTAGATGCGACTAAGGAAGTCAAGATACCCCACCAAATCGGGATGGAAATTGAGAAACTTTGGAATGAGGAACACCTTCGTTGTAGAAGTTGTCATTATAATTTGAATGAACGTGTTATTTTGAATTCTATGCCTGGAATTAATGTAATTAATTTATTGATATCTTTAAATCACATTTTCTGCACAATAGATACTAACAAAAAAATTTTAATGCCTATTTATTTGAAATATAGTGATGATTTATTATTATTTTGAAGTAGATCTTCAAAAATGTCATTTATTAGTTATTTTTGATCTGGTAATTTTTTTGGCTTATATATCATTTATTATGTACTCATGTATCGTGTGCATATGACAAATAATATGTTAATACGAGGCATCCTGACATAAAAATGAAACTATTTTTAAAACATAGCAATGTCATATTCGTGAAGGGTTTATAATTTATGGTAGTGCTTAAATCCTTATTTGGAGTATCATATTATTCGAATCAACACTACTATTTATACTTTGGTTAATCGAAAGAATTACGATTTTGTTGTAACCGTTGTATATGATTAAACAAACGTTTAAAATTTAATTTTACTTATAATCATTCCCAATATGGTTTTATGAACGGTATACAAAACTGGTGAAAATCTTCGATTGCAATTAATAATATCTAAAGATGGATATTAAGTTTTAAATTAAAAATCTATAAAAAAAAAGGTTTTTATAACGCTTATCTGGTATAGAGTATCACGTGAAAATTTTCCTCGTGTTCGATTAAACGAATTTCAAACACGAACACAAGTTTTTTTTTAAAAAAAATTTAGCTGTAATGCACATAATATACATTTATTGATTTTCAGCAATGAAAAAAGGATAAAACATATACATATATATATATATATATAAAAAAAAGGGACAAAAAAAAAAAAAAGGTAAATATAAAAAATATAAACAGTCAATTCAACCTAATCACCATCGATAACTAAACCAAAAATAATATATGTACATGACCATTTAATGTCAAAAAAAAAGATTTTTTTTACATTATAAAAAAATATACATGATTACTCTTTAAATTACGCATTTGTACAATAATGGTCTTAAATTATTCACATAAGAATCAAAAACATCTTGTACCTTAATCCATTGCTGTCTCATTGAAGTACCTTGATTACAAAGAATTAACCGATTAAAAAAAGGCAAAAATTTTGAATATTCAAAATAAAGAAAAATTCAAGACTTACTTATAATACGAGACATTCGAAAGAAGTTTTCATTAGCATTGTCTTTATATTTTTCTACGACCTTAGAAATATCATCGACTTCTTGTTTGAAAAATTCCTCAAAGCAACTGAATTTATCAATCATTACGACAAGTGCAACCATTACAGCATCTAGATGCATTTTAACATCTTCAATTTGCGTCAATTGTGTTTCAGTAATTTTTGCCTTATCGCCATATTGAACACTAGTAATTGAAGTACCAATCATAGAACCTGCTGATGCCATTCCAAGAGCACCAACAATAGCCAAAGATGCGCCAGCTGTAAATGGAGCTGCACATATTGCAATACCAGTTCCAATTCCAGTACCAACTGCGGCAATTATGTTTTGGAATTGTTCCTTTTTGGCTTCTTGTACAACCTGTTCCAATTTTTTTTCTACACCACTTAACTCTTCAAGCTCATTTAAGACATTTTTTAATGAAGCTAAATAATTTTTTAAATAATATTATTTTAATAACATAAATAAGAAGAAACTTGCAAAATGAAATGTTTCTTACCCATTATGTCACAAAAACCCTTTGTTAACTTTGCAGCGTTACTTCTATTAGAAGAAGCTGCTCGAATTTGTGATTTCATCGCCTCAACAAAATCATTTCCAGAGACATCTTCATCAAACAATACCTGAACATACCTTTCGTTTTTTTAAAAAAAAGGAGGTTAGAAAAAACTTATAAATAATATGAATTGCGGTTGTTAATGTCTTATTATACATACTCCATAAAATCTGCTGCGTATGCCGCCATATTCCCACAATGATTTATACTATCTTGCGTTAATGACCTGCAGAGACGTGCAAGTTCTATAATACTTTTCATATGTTTAGGGATAATCGTATCTTTAATATTATTGTTTGTACATTGTTCCAAATGGATCAAAGCAGTCTCGACTGCTTGTTCAAGGCCGTCATTATCTGGAATCGGGGGGCTTCTAAAGTCATGAACATTAATGCTCGCGTTACTGGAAAGGTTAAGTTCAGAACTTTGCTGCATTCAAGAAAAAAAAATATGGATTATTGAGCTGTCGATTATAGATTTCCGAAATGATTTACTTACGGTCATATTTACAAGATTTTACGATCCCGATATTAGATAATATGCGATCTTTTATATTTACCAGCCCCTTTATTCGGTAAAAAAAAATCGGTGTTTAAAAATCGTGAAAAAAGGCTGTGCGCGTTTCAGAATATGTACGACCTTAAGACTTTCTGCGTCACAAAAGGATTACTTTATATGTTAGACAAGTGAGTGATTTCTTTGTTAAATTTCCATAATAAACCCATATTAAAAAACGTGACCAATAACAATTATTGGAAAACAAAGTCGTTATCCAATAATATCTTTACATATTATGTGTCATTGAAGGAACGGAAATGACTTCACATGTTGACACTTGAGTTGTCTATAACAGCAATTTCTTCGTAAAATTCTGTTTTTGGCGCAGTTTTACCCACGTTTTTTGCATTACAATAAAAAAATCGTTTGCCCAAATGTAGATCTGATGTTCGTTGGCATTCATATTTGGAAAATATAGGGAAAGTTTGTTTTGATTAGATGTGGGCCAGTGTTGTCACTTGGCCACTTGGTCGTGGCCTGAAATGAAAAATCTATATAGTAAAAGCTAGTAATATGATTGGTTAATATTATACAACTTAGAAATTTTTGGCTTGGCGGCCTAACTAGCAAAAATTGCCAACACTTAGAGGTGCAGACATTTTTGTGGCAGTGCTACCCCGGCTGTAATAAATGTAATACTACTATCACAACCCGTCGTGTATATTGTCGTGGGTTGTAATACATGAGGTAGTCCGTTGATTCTCACTTTCCCGAAATACTATTTCCCCGACATCACATAGGGATTTAAGGAATTGATCCTAAATTGATTCAAAATTGTATCCACAAAGTTATCCTTAAAATGAATGCCAAATTTTGTAACCAACAATATACAATTGATATGCGTACATATAAAATAATTTAAGAGGTAAATAAAGCCTAAAATGTTGTTTATAATAGAAATTTTGATAAAAACATATGAATTTACTATCCCTTAAACCGTCAGTAGTTAGCGGACATATTTGTCCGCTAAAAATAATTGGAAAATTTTTTTTTTTAAAGACTAACCAAAATCGACTAGAGTACTCCGGGGAACAGTTACGTCATTGCATACTATGTGACACAAGCGAAGACTGCAAACCTAAATTACTCGTAATATATTGCATTTTTGTTAAAAAGTATTTTGTGTTGGGTCAAAACTTCTGGATCGTCCTAAGAATTCAGCTATAAATATTACAGACATGGATGAAATAACATTGTATGAAATATGGGAACTTATCCATAATGAAATTTTATTTTATCAAGTTAGTTAAGTCGATCAAATTAACTACAATGTAACAATCAAAATTATTAAATGTAAATTAAAAAAATTTAACCAGTAAAAATTAATAAAATGCTTTTAATTATGAAATTAATTATGAAATTAATTATTTAAAAAATAATCCAATACTATTTTGATAACAATAACTAACATAAGACATTCTGCTAACATTATAATTTTAAAAATTTTTTGATAATTAATGAATGTCTTATGTTAATTCTTCTTAATTCCTATTCCATCAAAATAACAATCTGTAAAATTATTCATTGCAAAAATATTTTCTATACACACAGATTTTTATTACCCTTTGTTATTTTTATAATACTTAAAAAACAATTTTGAACATTATTACAACAAAGCAGCACATTACAGACAATATATCAAAATTTGTTTTAATGTAAAGTCTTATAGTCAAGGTCTAGATTTTTTTACTTGCAAGTCATGCATACCATAGACATGATTCTCATCTCTTTCTCTATTCAACTAAATAGTTATCACTTACAACTGTTAGTTTGAAAGTTCAAAATGTTTAATTATTTTTAATTATTTGGTGTTTTTTTTGTTTTTTTATCTGTTTTCTTTTTTTTTGTTTTGTTATGCTTCTAAGCTGAATTTTCTTTACATTATTTGTAATATTTATTAGGTCTTATACTAGTTCAAAACAAAAGTCTTTTTGCTCTTAAGTGCATCCTAAGATCTGAATAATATAATATATGTTAATAATAATAATATCTAATAACCAAAAAAAATATAACATTCAGTTATTGTTGTTTTTCTTTTTTTAAAGTTTCTGTTTTTTTTGATTTTTTTTTTTTTTTGATATTAAGATAAAGCCTTGCTCTTATTTTTATTCATAGTCATTAAGTAGTAACTGCATAAAATTACTAGATATAAAAAGAAGTTCTATATATGCTATAACTAAGATTAATATTTACAGTTAGAATTAACTATTAAACTGCTAACTATAAAATTATAACTCTAAATAATATAAATATTATATATAAGAATAAAAGTTTAAATATATTTATCTGCAACTTAAATCTACTAGAGTGGTTAAGACTTATCTAAATTGGTTAAAATTTTCTAAATAATGTTTATTATACTAGTATACACTAGTAAACTACTTATAGATTTCATTAACTATTTATATTATTGAAAATTAATTACATTATTATAAAGAAAAAAAATCAAAGATATGATAAATTAAATAAGAAATAAAGTATAATTAAAAATTAATCAGTACCCACAATGTTCGAGGCTACAATGAAGACCTTAAACAACAAATGTGGGAGAACTTCTGCCTAACAAACAATCTTAATATAGTTAGCATTACCGAAACCAAAATAGCTAACACAAATGCAATAACAAAACTGCAAAAATCCAAACATTTTACATACTACTGGTCTTGCAGCAACAGCCCAAAAGCTGGTACTGCAATTATGATCAATAACTGGCTCAAACCACACATCCACAAAATACACAACTTTCCTGGTTATGCTATTGCTATTGATCTTTTCTTTAAACATGACTTCAAATTCCGCATTATATCTGTATACCTACCTTGTGACGATACCCAACTCAGACTAACTGTTCAAAATACTGTTATCT